ATTATTTGAGTTTTGTTTGAAAAGGTTTGCTTTCCTTAGGATGTCGCACTCAATGTGAAAAGTAAGATGAAAGAACGAGAAGAGTATATATGGTCTTAAAAGGACTCAGGACCCTGTAGGTTAATTGATCAGCTGTTGGGTGCCAATCTGATGATATGTCTCCTCTTCTATTGATCATATTTGATGAGGTCGGTTCAGAAGAATCGAGTGGAACGTGTTAAATTTGTGGTGAGATTGAATCAGCAGAATAAACTCGGTATTTTCATCGTTAAAATATACAGCTTTTCTGCTATTTTATTCTGGCGTGATGATACTGGAAAAATATTATCCTGTCACACAAATATAAAGAATCCGAAATGTTATTGGCGTTATGACACCATCAGGCATAGTACTAAGCTAGAAGGGGGCAATAGCTGTTATGATACCTGCTGAAGGTGGTAATAGCCGTCAGTGTCACTTTCCAATGGTGGCAATAGCCATTCCGAAAAATAAATGAATTGCTTTACTTTTTGTCCAGTTATGGGTACAACCGTTGCTAACCTGTACAATATTATCACTTTCATATTTTACTCTTCTACTAGCTTACTGGAACCACTTCTCTCTTCGAGATTGGGCCACAACATGATCAGTTCCTTTCAATATCGTACCGAGGAAAGCGAGTTTAGAGTTTTTGAGCAGGTTGATAACATTGAGATAATTTAAACGAAAATAAAATTATATTTTACGTGAATGTGAGGATTATGGTCCAGTTTTACATAAGATAATATTACGATAGTGACACAATTATAAGACAATTTGAAAAACTCTTTCAGTTACTTCCATTCAAAACAGAATACAAAGGCCATGATGTGGAAATCATAGTTGACAATGCTAGAACGCATTCGGCCAAAGAATACACTATAAATGATTTTGGCCAGGGCATTGGAACTCGATGCCCAGTCCAGCTCATCGAGTACGTGAATGAAAAGGAAATGTAAGAAGAACTTCATGTTTTTTTTCGGAAGGTAGACACAAGAGTAAATCCAAAGGTCTACTGATGATGGTGAAAGAACTGAAAGTTGCTGTCAATGCTAACATAAAACTCTACGATTTGCGCCACATTTCTGCTTTTCGAAATATAAGCGAACTCGAAAAGTTAGCAACAAAGTACAATGTCAAAATAATTTTTTGTCCCAAATATCATTGCGAACTCAACCCGATCGAGGGGTTATGGTGCTCGATGAAAAGGTTCGTCAGGCAACGAAGTGATCAGACATTTCTGACCATGATACGCCTCATTGCTGCCTCCAGAGAACATTTCAAGCAAAATAGGATCGAGCTCAAGCTTTATCGACGCTTCTGGTGCGCCAGAAAAGGTAATAACAACTAGGTCTTGAAAAACAGGATATGTGTCTTTTTATATGTCCCAAATAAGGATCAGCCATGAGTTGTCTGAAAATTTGCAAAGCTTATTTTTTCATTTTGCCAAAGAATAGAAACTGAGTTTTTGGCGCATCAGAAATCAACTAGCATAGCTGAGTGAGTCTAGAATCGTGATTTCGAGTGTGGTAACGATATTCACTATGGGTTTTATGTACACTGCCTTCTGCTCGAAGGATCCATTTTCAAAATAGACATTTATACACCATTCGATAGAGAATTTGAACAGCTACATTTTACACTTTATATTTGAGAAAAGAGTTACTTCGATTTTTTGGCTAATGTCCGCCTGGATGCCCACTGTGAGGCGGCACTGCACATGTATTTATAGCCTATTCTGTATAGCTCTTCTTCGGTTTCAAGATGTATCAAGGTGCACTCTTGCTATTTATCTAGTCTCACTTAAGAATAGTCCACTTTATTTACAGTTGGGACGAATGTATCAAAAGTAAAATAAGATATACAGCACTCCAAGTCTCAGGCAAAGCAGTATAACATTTGATTAAAAAATTCGAAAGATATTAAAAATAACTTTTTAAATGTCTCATCCGTGTCTATTCAGACATGAGTTCTGGACTTGGACCCGCCCATCTCTGTCGCATATCTCTGCTTCATTACGTTCATTGCTGTTAATAATATCTTGTTACTATCTTTTTCGCCAATATTTTTCCACATTTTGCTAACTGTTGTACACAATTGTATTCTATAATCCACACCGAGCCCAAGGGAATAATTGTCCTAAATTCTTGTATTTACAGCTGTCCATAATATTCAAACATTTATCTATATCTTACTTATATTCTTTTAATGGAGCTATCGAAAAAAATTTGTAGAAAAACTGTGCTTCTAATTGCCTTTACGCTCCAACATTAATGTTTAAAATTCGGGATACAAGTCCAGTTTTTTGATAATCACGAACAAACCAGTTTGGTTTTATTTCCACGTAGCCACTGTTTGACGTATCTAGCTTACGTAAATCATCTAAAACTTTCGATGTACCATAATATGGATGTTCAATCACTTTGCCTTTAAAATTATGTCCTAATGTAACACATTCAACGCCATTGATTATAACAATATGACCACCGTCAAGTACGAAATTGAACACTTCTTCACATTCAATATCTGATTCATGTCCAATATCACAAGGAAATATCCAGTTACCATCTATTCGAACTGGATGCCACGGTGAAATAATTAAACCATTACCAAAACTGACCATGGTTGTTTTATCGTTAAAGCATATACTCTTCATAACATAAGTAACAGTAGCGTTGGTTACTGAATCTGGTGTCTGTAAAATATCCCCTCTACGAACGTCTTTGACAAATTTAGTGTTCCCGTCCGCCAATAAAACGAGGCATTTTCCGTGAAAGCACCCTGCACTTGCATTATTAAACACACGCATATTGACTGGTAATACTGTATTATTATATGGGTATTTAGTGGATGGTTTTGGAGCTGGTAACTTGCAAAATATCTCATCCATGTCGTCACGAATTGCATTAAATAATTTACTACCATAATGCTGTACACCAGGATCTTTAAAATTATTGCAAATTTGCAGCAAATGAGCACGAGTAAGCGACGGTAAATAGTGTTTACCCCAACGATCGAACCACTCTCTGTTTGATAATGCTTCGGTCACTTGACCTGTTAAATCTACTAATAAGTCAATAATAAATGGATGATTTTGAACATTTGATGATTTTATCTCCAGTTCTAATTTTTCTATTACTTTTTGAGCATTTTTCATATCATTCTTTAGCATTAAATTCATGGCTTCTCTGACTCTATGAACAAATTCTAATCGATAACGATGAATCATAATATTATTAATGCTATTTTCTGATACATCTAGAGTCTCTCTATCCACCTTCAATTTAACTAAAGATTGTTTATGAGGAGAGGTGTATTGCAATGACACACTCAGATAGGGGGGTGATTCAAGTCGATTTTGCTTTGTTGAAACTGGAATAATAATATCTTTGCTTTGACCGTACGTCACTGACCCAATATTGAATTTCAATCCTGTATTAGACTTTTCAACATCGTAAAATTCTGTATAATCTGTTTGTAAGACCGTGTTCGTATCCATCGATTTGACTTCGAGCGAAACATTTGTGGCTACAGTAGATAATAAGTTGCTTAAGGTGTTAACAAAAACAGTTCCAACAAATCCCCCGTCAGGTATAAACGAATATGTTCCATT